AATAATGTTAAGTAGGAATTACTTTTCTTGGATCTGAGATGAGAATTAAGAGTTTGATTCCTGCCACCTCCATAAATACACCCACCTTTGGGTGCAGCTGGAACCCTGCATTGTGAAACTGTTGATCTTTAAACTAAAATACAGTGGTGCCTCGCAAGACGAAATTAATTCGTTCCGCAAGTTTTTTCTTCTTGCGAGTTTTTCGTCTTGCGATGCACGGTTTCCCATAGGAATGCATTGAAAATCAATTAATGCGTTCCAAGGGAAACCGCCTTCAGACCAGGTCCGGGGACAGTCTCTCCCCCGACCTCTTCTGAAGGCTGGGGGGGGGAAACAAGGGCTTCTGAAGGCTGGGGGGCTGGGGGGGAACAAGGGCTTCGCTGCCGACCCCCAGCATTTTAAAATCTCACCGGGACACGGGGAGATTTTAAAATGCTGGGGGTCGGCAGCGAACGCTTCGCTGATCCCGGGATGGCAGGCAGATCTGCACCGCCATCCAGAGCGGGGCGGGACTTAGCGCCCCGCTCGGGATGGCGGCACAGATCTGCCTGCAGTCCCGGGACGGCAGACAGCTCTGCGCTGGCATCCAGAGCGGGGCGGGACTTAGCACCCCGCTCGGGATGGCGGCACAGATCTGCCTGCAGTCCCGGGACGGCAGACAGCTCTGCGCTGGCATCCAGAGCGGGGCGGGACTTAGCGCCCCGCTCGGGATGGCGGCACAGATCTGCCTGCAGTCCCGGGACGGCAGACAGCTTTGCGCGGCCATCTGGAGCGGGGCGGGCTTCGCCCCCGGCTCCCGATGGCCGCGCAGAGCTGCGCTGATCCCGGGACGGCAGACAGCTCTGCGCCGCCATCCCGAGCGGGGCGGGACTTAGCACCCCGCTCGGGATGGTGGCGCAGATCTGCCTGCAATCCCGCGACTGCAGGCAGCTTTGCGCGGCCATCTGGAGCGGGGCGGGCTTCGCCCCCGGCTCCCGATGGCCGCGCAGAGCTGAGTTGATCCCGGGACGGCAGACAGCTCTGCGCCGCCATCCCGAGCGGGGCGGGACTTAGCACCCCGCTCGGGATGGTGGCGCAGATCTGCCTGCAATCCCGTGACTGCAGGTAGCTTTGCGCGGCCATCTGGAGCGGGGCGGGCTTCGCCCCCGGCTCCCGATGGCCGCGCAGAGCTGCGCTGATCCCGGGACGGCAGACAGCTCTGCGCCGCCATCCCGAGCGGGGCGGGACTTAGCGCCCCGCTCGGGATGGTGGCGCAGATCTGCCTGCAGTCCCGCGACTGCAGGCAGCTTTGCGCGGCCATCTGGAGTGGGGCGGGACTTCTCTGCTGTCCCGGGGAGATTTTAAAATGCTGGGGGTCGGCAGCGAACGCTTCGCTCCCGCCCGCCAGCATTTTAAGATCGCCCGGGGCAGCGGAGAAGTCTCCGCTGTCCCGGGAAGGCAGGCGGGGGGGAGCAAAGACTTTTGCCCCCCGCCGGCCTTCAGAAGAGGTCCAGGACCTCTTCTGAAGGCCGGCTGTGGGCGAAAGTCTTTGCTCCCGACTGCCAGCAATTTAAAACAGGTCCCCGGAGATTTCCCTATGGGCTTTCGTCTTGCGAAGCAAGCCCATAGGGAAATTCGTCTTGCGAAGCGCCTCCGAAACAGAAAACCCTTTCGTCTTGCGGGTTTTCCGTCTTGCGAGGCATTCGTCTTGCGGGGTACCACTGTATGCAACATCACCAAAAACAGCCTCTTTAGTACTGAGCGATTGGCAGGCAGCCAACGTAACTTCAGGTTAAAAAAACTAGATCCAGGAAATTATAGACCTGTCAGCCTTAATTCTGTTTCGTCAGAGTTGTTGAAGAGCATTATTAAGGCTAGAAGTGGAATCCTATACATATCTGCTCAAAAATAAGTTGAGGAATTCCATGGAATTTCTCGCAGAAAGGGGGGTGCTGGAGCATATCGAAAACAAACCGGGGGGGGGGCTCTTATCTCATTCAGAGCAATCACTGCAAGGCAGGAAGGATAGTAGATAGTTGAGGCAGCCCCAACTTGAGCAATATATCCTGTACAATTATACGTGCAGTTGCCTGTGGGTTCCAGGGGTGGGGTACTCAGGCTTCCATACCCCAATAGATTCAGTTCTCAGGTGAACACTTGGCAGAGGCAAGTTTGTTCATGAATAGCTTCCCTTTTATTAGAAATAAGCTAACACACACAAAATACAGACATCTCGTAGCAAGGCAGAGCAGCTCATAAACATTTCCTTCCCCTCCAGCGTAGGTATACAGAGACATACAACAAATGAGACACACCCAGCAGGACTCAATCACCTCAGGCAAGTAGCTGAGGTTTCATTACAGGCCCCTTAAAGCAGGGAGGAGGAACCTGTGGCCTCACAGATGTAGCTGGGCTCCAGCTTCTATCAGCCCCAGCCAGAATGGCCAATGGTCAGGAGTAACGAGAGTTGGGATTCAGCAAAGTCGGGAGCTGCAGACTTCTCACCCCTGCCTTAAAGATAGTGCAATGAAGGTTGCACGTCACCCCGAATCTCTGCCGAGTGGCAGCAAGATTGTAGGGGGTTCCAGGTGCTCGCCCAGGGTTCTGTTTCTGTTGGGGAAATTGAGGTGTGGAGGAAACTAGTGTCTTTAAGAAATATGGTTTATTTCACACATATTTACACCTAAAGTCTTCAGCAGAGAGGGCACAGAACAGTGTGTCTCTCACTGCCCCTCTCATAGTGTCAGCAAGCTCAGATCAAAAGCAACAATCAACTTTTTGTTCCCAGAACACTTTTACAGTGGTACCTCAGGTTACATACGCTTCAGGTTACAGACTCCGCTAACCCAGAAATAGTGCATCAGGTTAAGAACTTTGCTTCAGGATGAGAACAGAAATCGTGCTCCGGCGGCACAGCGGCAGCAGGAGGCCCCATTAGCTAAAGTGGTGCTTCAGGTTAAAAACAGTTTCAGGTTAAGTACGGACCTCCGGAACGAATTAAGTACTTAACCCGAGGTACCACTGTACAAGACAGAGGACATTCATTTGCTGCGTACATGATGTGGAAGTTATAGTGGACACCTTAAAGGCCAATTTCTATGCTTCTTGGTGCATTAGTCAGTGTAAGTTAGTAAGCCTCAACTCCTCTTAGATGGAGTTAATAATAACTTAATAATAATAATAACGTAATAATAGGAACTTGGGTGTGTGCACAAAAAATGTTAACTTCATTAGAGCTCTAAAAAAGAAGTTTTATATTTCACTTTAATATACATGTGGTTTTTTTAAACTGGTTATCTCAGAAATCAGTTTACATCCATCCTGCAGAGCAGGCTGTTTTTATTGTTATACCTATATTATACCTATATTATTAGATTGTCTCTATGGATCAGGAAGTGTACTAGGCATACAATATAGTCCATTACTGTTACCCCAACATGTTGCCCTGTGAGAGAATACTAAAGCTGAGACAAAGTTGCGTATAACAACCCCAGAATGCAATCAAATGTTATCACAGGCTTCAAATCAAAAGACCACAGCAGAGATCTCAAAGAGATGAGCAGCAGATCATTAGAGAAAGTGAGCCATACCAAAGTCTACAATTCCAAGTGAAATTGTGGCAGCTCCTCTCTCATAAAAATGTACACATGCACTAGCACATCCCATGCAAGCAACACGTATAGCATCTCTCCCTTCCCACTTACTGCCTTCCACTGCAGCTGTCTTCTAACTCTGGCGACAGCCTTTTTTTCCCTTTTGGGAAGCAGCTTCCATCTGGGAAGTGTCAGTCTGACAATTAGCATGTGCTGAGTAACTTGCTCTTAAATTAAATGACTGACTAAACTGGGAACTATGAAGCCTCACAACTTCAGGAATACTGAATGGATTTTCATCAAGCCAACGATTCCTGTGTTTAGATATCAAGTTTAGATATCATCATAATTTCCTGAAGTATGACCAGAGAACAGATTTTCTCTTGCAAATGTAACATACTGATTTGATGATGGAACAGAATTTTATAATGATGCTGGAAAAACCTGCTGCCTCAGTTATGCACCCACTCCCACAGATGTGAGAGCTACATGTCATATAGCACCTATGCACATCAGAATTCAAATATTTGTAATGGAAAATGTATGAAGGTAAGGCTACTACGCCAGGATGCACAGGTTATCTTGCTCACATAACACACTTTCCACTGTGTACCCATGTGGATGCCATTATTATTATTATTATTATTATTATTATTATTATCCATTCTTCACTCTAAGGTCCCAGGATTTCACAGCTGCTTAGTTTTAATTCTGCTGATTGTATTCATTTTATTGTTCGGTTTTTTGATGCCGTTTTAATTTGTGACTGCTATGAAATTCTGGATACACATAAGTATATAAATATTTTAAAATAAGTAAATAATAAATAAGTCTGAACAAAGCCTATGAGTACTTAAATAAAGCAGCAACAATAAAACCAACCACATCTATTGCCTTGTTTATTTGTTTTTATTTGTGGGGCAGAACATCTTCCAAATCAGAACTTTCCCCCTAGTGCCTTTTCTCCCCTGTGGAAAATTTTCCTACCCATAAGTTCATTAGTAACAGTGAATGGATGCCAACTGCAAATACAGTACTAAGCAAGTAAAGTAAGCATGCTAAATTAGATCAGTCTCTTGGGCACTAGAAAAATTTCTGATGCAAACTGAAAATTATACTATGCAAATTACCCCAGTTCAAAAATTTTCAGGAAACCTACATCACTGACCACCACAGAAAAATTACAAGGGTTGAGAAATGTCCATCTGTTGAACATGCTGAACATTTGGAGCAAGAAACTGTTGCATCAAATATAAATTACAGTCCAAATCTTACTCTTTATTTGCTCAGATACAGTGAAGAAGCAGCCATTTTATCACAACCCACCAACCCAAAATCATTCTGTTCTTATTTTTAAATCAAACTGCAAAATTATGAACACCTAACACACATTTAAACAGAATTTTCACTGATTTAAAACAAACTTACTTCCATGAGGAAATACTGTATGTTCATTCCACTTACAGTATTCAAGGCGCCTTCAAAAGAAATATCTGTTACAATTTAATTTAGAAGTTTAAACATTTTTGAACTTTCCATAAGCTTTGTTGAAACAACTATGGAATATTCTGCAATATGCTGACAGATAACTGCCCACTGCAAACTGGCATAGGATCTTTACAAGTGACTGTATGCTGCCTTGGTTATTATATTCATACTTTTACATAAAAGTTAGCTTAGCTTCACACCCAAAAGAAGATGTTTCTAATCATGTAACAAGCTTTTATTTGTGTGCAATAGTATCAGCCCAGGGCATGAGCACAATAGTGTATTATACAAAAATTGGACTCAATCCAGAAGTGGTTACACATTAAAGCTGTAATTAGGCCTGAAGGTCTTTAGCTGGAAGTTTACGATGTAACATCAGCAGCACTAAATGAAATTATAGCCAACCAACAAAATTGAGGATGGAGACCCAGGGGAGTCGGGAAGGGAAGGAATCCTATCACATTAACACTCTTATCCTAAAATCATTAATTGCAAGCTAGCCCAATTTATTTCAATAGGACTTAGTTCCCATATAATATGTTTAGGGCTGGGTATTAGACGCAGAGTCCACTATAAAAATTTCAATGCAGAAGTCTGAGTCGCCTACAATAGTTATGAATGGGAAAAGTGATAACCATGTGAAACTTTTCTAAAGTTATCACACTTATACTAGAACATTAATCAGCTATAAAGCCAAGCTCCTTATTCTGAGAACAGGAAGCCAATCCATGCTTTTTGTATATTGCATCTCTAAACAAACCCCAATAATAGTTCTTTTTTCTTAATCACCTACAGCACAATATTTCAGAAACTCTTGGAAAGGGATGTGCCACAGAAAGTGAAGCTTCACAGAGCTTCTACGTTATCAAATTCCATTTTGCTCCTAGATGGTCTTGTGGTATGTAATCTTAAAGACTGTCAGCAATCCAGGAACTGATTTTTTTTTGTTCTGTTCTTGCCCTCAGAAACTGTGAGAGAAAAGTTTCACAAGCTGTGTTTAGTGTTAAAGTAGCCATTTGGAATGTCTCCTAAGGAAAATTACAGAGCAGTCCTACACTTCCATTACGCCCGGGGTGGTATATATGCCTCTACGCCTGCAAAACGATGACCACATTCTTATACATGATTAGCCCAGGCATGGAGAGGAACACACATAAAATACAAAAATGTTTTTTTAAAGAAGACCAGCAGGCATCCATCATCACTGGAAACACCACCAGTGTCTAACAATCATGCCCACATGCAGAGGGATGCAATGAACTCACCTCTGGGACATGCTCCTAGCACACACACATCCCACCACAACATACAGAACAATACCAAAGCAAACCCAACCCATCAGCACAGGCAACATTGGCAAAGCTAGGCTCCAGGGATCCCTACAGGTTGCAGCTTGAATCCCCTTGTAGTACTCACAACCACTGTTTTGGAGTACAAAATGCAAAGGGGAAGGGGGGAAAACCCTGCAGTTCAGCACCCACATAGCTCCTAGGATAGGATGCCTCCAGAAAGCACACAGAGCACTCCTGGGAAAAAGGTTCAAGGGCCACCGAGGAAAGGGGGAAAAATATATATTTTGCCAACCAGATAAGAGGATGAGCCAGGACATGCTGAAGTCAATGGGGATTTTTGAGTGAGGTCGTGGACTGAAGGATTATAGAATATGGCATAAGCATTCTCCTGTCCTGTGCCCATGACTCTACTCCAGATCAGCCATTCTGCCAATGTCTTCAATGGTGGATTGGCTCCACCAGCAGCATGTTCAACCAGTGTTCCTGTGGTATTCAGTCAGCAGATCTATCATGGCGGCAGTGGTTTGGTCATCCTCCAGTGTGGAAGGATTTTCACCAAATCACACAACCCCAGATCTCAAGTACAGGACTACACCATTATTTAGGGCTGCCATACACCTGGAATGGGATTTCAAAGGCAGAAGTGATGTCCGGGGAGACTATCTGGAAGGTGGTGGTTTGTTCTGGATCGAAAAATTGTTCATCAACTTTGGGGTTTGTCTAAAAAAAAAAAAAAAACTCAACAACTTTTGAGGTGTCATGAAATATGGCAACCCTACTCATTGGCAGTTTCTTACAATGGCATCTTACTCTCTTCCAACTTTTCAGTATCAGCGCTGATCACAGCTGCAACACAAATCTGAAGTTCTTAAGGCACTTTTATCAAATATTTAGGCAAGCAGGTGCCTGGGATTCTTCCAGCCTGGAGTGGTTAGTGCATAACAATTACATTACTGCAGGAGAAAGGCATAAGTGCCAAGTTAAAACCCTGTGCCATAAACACACAGCGTGGCCTCCAACATTCCAGAAATGAGAAGTGGGACATTATTGTATACTTGTAACACACCCTATTCTGACACAAGCTCTCCTCCCTATTGCACATTGCTGAAGGCTCTTTCTTGTCTCCTGCATTTCCGTTTTTAAAGCTTGTGAATGTTTAATGTTTAATCTCACAATGGATGTGGTTCTATTTAGTATAGCATAGCTGTACCTCAATCACAACTAGCAACAGCTAGTATCTCAATAGGATTGAAGGGAAGAATCATCAAGAGGATTGAAAGAAAGCAGTACACTGGCATTTTGTATTTAGACAATCAAGAAAGAATCAGCATTGCTGCAGTCTGGAGGCAATCATATGATTTAAAAACAAAGAGGATGTTATATGAGAATAATAACTGCTCTATAACAACTACTAAATATTTTGGGAAGTTGTTTGTTCACGATACATTTAGACATTTCTTAAGATAGATAACTAAGTTTTACACGATGGTTCTTGAGTTCAAGGAGCAGATTTTAGTCTATGTTTTTATACAAATGGATGTCATTTTGAATCAAGATGGCAGACTGAAGCTTTCAAAACTGCACTGATTTTTTGGTTTCTTGGAATTCTCAAGAAACACTGGGTATGAAGCTGCTAGTGTTATCCTAGGCTCCCCTGTTCGGTCAACATGGCCTCAAAGGGAACAGAAGCTATGTCAGTTGTGGTGGAGTGTCGTAATTCCCCTCCCACTGGAGTCAAGGAGAAGGAAAATAAAAAAAACCCTGCCACCCTGCCCACTGTCACCACAACTATGAAGGCGGTGGTTTCTCCACCATGGAATATTCTGCGCCACCAATATTGGTTCTACACCCTACTCACTTATTAGCTTTAGAGATGAGGAGAAGACGGTAACTGTAAAAACAGCATTTCCTCCACTGTATGAATAGGTAAAGGGACCCCTGACCATTCGGTCCAGTCGTGACTGACTCTGGGGTTGCGCACTCATCTCACTCTACAGGCCGAGGGAGCCGGCATTTGTCCACAGACAGCTTCCTGGTCATGTGGTCAGCATTACTAAGCCGCTTCTGGCAAACCAGAGCAGCACATGGAGCGGTACCTATTTACCTATTTACCTTCCTGCCGGAGCGGTACCTATTTATCTACTTGCACTTTGACGTGCTTTCGAACTGCTAGGTTGGCAGGAGCAGGGACCGAGCAACAGGAGCTCACCCCATCACAGGGATTCGAACCGCTGACCTTCTGATCAGCAAGTCCTAGGCTCTGTGGTTTAACCCCTACTGTATGAATACATTAACATTAACATTATTTAATGGCATTCCCAAAACCTCCACCACAACCCCTCCAAAAATAAAATGAAGACAGCAATTAATCAGGAACAGGAAATACAATAGGAACTGTCTCAAGCAATAGGCACAATATGATGTGGGAATTCTACATCTGGAATAGCTACCCACCCTTTAGTTCCATAGCCATAGAGAAGAACCTCTGCTTCACTCAGAAATATAAATGGAGAAGCCTGAGTTTGGGATGGGAAATCCACCATTTTACTACAAGATTGAAAAAGAGTACCCAATGTGACACACCTGATTAGAAGTTCAGTGTCCGAAGCAAGCACCCCCTCCATTCAGATTACAAAGCAGCCATGCAAAGGTCACGTTATGGGGAAAGTCCAGAAAATGAAATTTAATTACCACCTTCTTTGTCCCCCATCCCCTTCCCCCCACTCATCCTGCATGCATTGCAAGGGGTTGCCCTAGATGAACTTTGGGGTCCCTACAGTTCTAACAATCGTTCTTTTTTTTAAAAAAACACACACACACTTTAAAGGTGGAGCCTTTTCTGGCGGGAAATGAGGAGCCCACACGTGCGTGTGCTTGCGCGCCCGCGCAGAAAGAACAGCGCAAGGGTTGCCATCCTATGATCATGCGCTGCGTCTTGAGGGCGATCCCCACAGTCACCAGTGGCCACAGGATCCGCCTGCGCGTTTACTCCTTCCTCATCCAGTTTTTATTTTATTTTTATCACGGCTATCCTTCCTGGTACCACATAATAATTCCACTTCCACGACCACCACCCCGGGAAGTCCCAACAGTTATACACACCCAGCGGCCGCCCCCCCTGCAAAACGCCCGCCTGGCCTGAAGGAACCGCAGCCTCCCCTTCTTCCACTCCGCCGGGTCTCCTCACAGCATCAGTAACCTTAGCAACCTCAGGCCTCCCTTCCATTGGCCAGTTTGACGCGAGCCGGCAGCCAATGGCGACCCCTCCCGAGGCTCGCTGCTCCAATCGGGGCGAGGCGCAGGGCAGGGCGCCTTGTTGACGTCTAGCTCCGAGAAGGGAGGAGGAGAAGCGAAGGGGCGGGAAGAAGCGGGAGCAGAGAGCCTGCGAGGAGGGAGGAGGAGGAGGAGGAAGAGGAGGAGGAGGAGGACTCCTCTGTGCTGCTCGGCGGTGGCACATTAGCAGCACGATCATGGACACCCCGGGGTAGGGGCCCTTCCCGGCGGGGTGGCTGCGGCCCCTCCGCGCAAGCCGAGACTCAGCGCCGGCGGGGCGCCCCCCTCCCAGCCCAGCCCGCTCCGTCTGAACGCGGTGAGTGGAGGTATCTCAGCCGCTCTGTCTCCGAGGGAAGGAGGGAGGGAGGCAAGGCAGCTCAGCACCCAGCGCTGCGGCGGGTGCAGGAAAAGAGGGGCACAGAAAGGAGCAACCTGTGTTGGGGGGGGGATCTTCCTGGGTTGGATGAAGGGAGCGAGGAAGGAAATCTCCACTCCCCCGGACCTTTCCCCCAGCCACCTTCCCCTTGTTCTTCTTAAGCTTCTTTCAAAACTCTCCCTCCTTCGCCTCTTCCCTGGCTTACCTGCTTCCTCTCCAGCCTGCCTGAGCTCAGATCTCCTGCTCGAAAATGGTTTTTGCTCTGCTCTTTTTTTTTTTTTTTTGCCTCCTGCTCGCCTCCCCATCTTACTCTGTCCCCTTTACGAAGATCTGCTTCTTGTTTTTGTTTTTTATTCCCCCCCAGCACCCCCTCTCTCACACACACCAGATTTGCCAAGCTCCATAATTAGTCCCTCCCTTGGTAAAAATGTGTTTCCTCTGCTTTGTTTGGCTCTGCTTAAACTGCCTATCCCTTCCTTGCTTATTCAGCCCCTTTAATGTCCTTAAAAACATCGCTGCTGCTCAGTTTTTCTCCTTTCCTTCATCGCCTCCTCCAAAGATCCACTCATTTACCCTCTAAGTAACCTTTCCCGTTGGTTCTCATCCTTTCTCTCTGAACACCTCTGCCCTGCTTGTGGTTCCATCCTAAAACATGAGTCTTTCGATTACTCTTCCCTCCTCCTGTCCCCAGAGTCTCCTTTTCTTTCTCCCCATCAGTTTCCCTTCCTCCTCAACCGACTCCACCTAAATACCTTGCTTTCTCATGTTAACAACTTCCCTTATGGAAATTCCTTCCTCTTTATTACTGATCTCCTTTGCCCTTCCTTGCATAATTAGGCTTCCCATGAATCTACCTTCCTGTATGGTTCCACATTAATATCTACCCCCTCAAATACCTATCCCCATCAAGTGTCTTTTGCTTAATCTCTGTTTTACCCCTTTGCCCTGAGAATGTTTTTCCCCTCCAGTATCGCAAAATATCCCCTAAAAACACTCTCAGTACATTCTTATTCCCTTTTCTTAACCTCATTTCTTGCTTTCTAAACCTTTGCATTTCCCTCATTAATAGATGATCATTTCCTTAAATAGCTTCCCTTTTTAGTTCTGGCCTCTTCTCAGAGTGAACGTCCTCTGGTTCCTATAAAGCTTTTTATACTCTATTTTACAAGTAATACTGCTTTTCAGTATTTCCCCCCCTCCCCTGTACTTTTTCATTCACTGAGCCCCAGTAAAACCCCACGCCCTTGTCTGCCAGAGTATAAGCCCCTTCAATCCTCCCCTGCCTTTTGCATGTCCTTTAAACCCTTACAATTCCCTGCCTATTCCCTCATCTTTGCCGGAATTCCCCATGTTCTCTTGGTATAAATTTCTTCCTGCTTCTTCAGCCTGTCTTTACAAGTGGGGAGGGACAACAACGTCCTATCCCCTTCCTCTTGTTTCCCTGGTTAACCAGCTGCTTCCAACCCCCTTTCTCTTCCTGGCCCTCTAAATCCTTCCCTCTTAACCTGCAGTCTCCCCTCACTCGACCTCGCCCCCATCTTGTATTTTCTCCCGTCTGCTTGTTAGAGCCACATGCAACCAGGCTCGAGTAGCGAAGCCAGAAAATGTCTGTGGCTCTCGTGCTTTCTCTTTCCCTTTGCCCTGGGTTTCCTCAGTAGGGGACCCCCAACTACTGTCCCTCTGCAGTCACCCTGTAGGGAGAGAGAGGGAGGGGGCAGCGGAAGCAGTGACTGCTTGGTTTTGGCTGCATGTTTGAGGAGTGCGACAGACGGTGGTGGTGTGTGGACGGAAGCTGCTGGCGCTCTGGGCGAATGAGAAGGCAGGTGTGTGCCTGTGTGTGGGAGGGGGACACGTTGTTTGTTCCTGGAGCTTTTAGATAGTGCAGGAATGCATGGAATGCCTCGGAAGCCCGCTGCAACAGATCGCTTCTTGCCCAGCTCTCTGAACAGCCAAAGGTCACTGGACCATCTCTGGAACAGCAAAAGGGAAAAAGCCCGTTCCTGCCGCCTTGCTGCAGAGAGAGAAGAAGCAGTAGCAGCCGTGCTGCATGCTTTGAGCATGGCATTACACAGGATCAGAGTCTAGTCAGATTCCTCCCCTTGAAGGCTACTTTTGATGGCCCTTCTAATGACTGTTGGTCTGACCTATCCCTGTCGAGCAAGGCAAGGGCTTGCCTTACCCCCTCTCTTTCAAACGTATTTTGTGCCAAGTTATGATTCAGACGTCATTCAGTTCAGTACTGTAGCATTTTGGTACATGACTCAAAGCAGAGCTATGGAAACTGAGGGAAGCCCTGCAGAAAACCGGGAGAGGACCAGAGAAAAAAATGTATTAAAGCTGTGTGGCATTATAGGAAGAGTTTTGCAACATATTCCACCCCCCACTCCCCATTATATTCAGTGCATGAAACTATAATCTAGAGATGTTTTCATATGGAGCATTAGAGGGATAACTGTTTCTTATCAATAGTGAGCTTCATGTACACCCCTATAATGCCAATCAGATTAAAGAACAGAGAGGCAAGTGTTTTACTAGAGATGGGGCAGAGAGGACTGTCTGGTACTGTTAAATTACTGGGCGTGTCAATTACCATTTGGAACAACACAGAATGGCAGCAGGGCATAACAATTGCCAGCATGTCTTTCCCCAGATTTATGTCTCGTAGTACCATGTATTAGGTCTATTCATCTATTGAAGCTGCCAAAACCGTTTAACTTGATATTTGTGAGGAGGGGGCTTGTGGTGGGGTGGGGGTGGGGAAGGGAGACAAAACAACATGTCGAAAAGTTTGGGGCACAATGGTTCAGCCATAGGTAAAAGGGAATAATGTACGTGTCTGAACACGATCTAAAAGTAGTTGTTTTCTGTTTCATTTTTCCCCCTCTGCCAGATGAAAGGAAATAATTACCAACCTTAGGTTAAGAAGAAATTGTAGTGGTAGCTGCCAAAGCAAGTCCCAGAGCATTTCACATAGTTGGCTGTTCTGACATGTTTGGGGCAGTTATTCAAAATAAGAGATGGTGGCTTGGCTATTATTTTTAATTGAAAGGTGCCTGCACAAGAGCATTTTAAAAACTGTAATATACCTTGCTTCAAAACAGATATTGCTGTTGCCCTGATGAAATGCTTTATATTCAAAGGCGTCTGCCGTCTTGTATGCTGAATGCTATTTTATGAGTGATTATGTGTGCTTTTTAAACTGTAAAACATACTTTTGAGTTTCAGTGAAATTTAAAACACACACACACACACCTCTGATGTATTTATTGTAAGCAGCATCCTGACTGTCACTTGTTCTGTCCCCACTACTGCTCTGTATTGAGCCCATTAAATAAAGCAATGTGTACATTCAAAACTGGAGTGCTCTTGGGAGAGTCCTAGGCACCTAACGCTTTATATGTTTTGCATCGACATTGTGCTTCTGAAGGATTGCTTGAATTACCCTGTTTGGATGGAGTTTTGTAATCGTTACATAGAATTATTGTGAACCGAATGACTTATCAGACAGCACAGTTTTCCTTTCTGAATAAAGGAAGCTGGGTGATATTAAAATAGGATAAAATGCATTTTGAAGATTTCTTATGCAACAGTAATTACCAGTCTACTTAAGCACTGTAACTGCTTGATAAATACTTATATTCGTATCCCCAACTCACTCCCAAATGATATTGGCTCCTCTGAACTTCCTTTACTCATTCTCTGGTGCTTCAACAATTTCAGAGCCAGCAAATTTCAAGCCAAGCTCCCTCCCAAACTTGCTCATCTGCAACCATTCCTGGAATCATCAGAACCGCTATGTCTCCACCCATTCTCACTGTCTGATTTTGGCACTAGAGTAGCCTCAAATTCTTTCCCCCATCCCTTCCACCTCAGTGCTTTGGTGACACCAGCTGTTTTCTCACAACTACCAGCTTTACCTTTTTCTAGATATTACGGTACTCCTTTTGCCACCAACCTATTTCACAGCTATAGAGGATATTTCACCAGGGTGTTTCATTTTAAGTGACAATCTCTCTCTTTTGTTTAGGTACTGTGTTTCAGATAATAAAGTGAATTCCTGATCTCATGACATATAAAGTATAGCATCTCCTCAAGAATGATTGAATGAAGTGATTTCATATTGTAAGAGCAATCCAATAAGATATTTTCTGCACTGAGAGGTGAAACACATTCTGAGGGAATTGCTGTAGAAGTCTGTGGTGTGAGAAGCCATTCTCTTTATTTTAAATGTCTTAATTATCATAATAGATCTTCATACTTATAGGCTAAATAAACCCAATAGCCATCACTAAGGTTTTTGTCCTGCCAGGATATCCTTGTTCGCATATTCTGAGTGTAGTGCAACCAGCTATTGAATCAAAGGGCAAAAGTGTTCATGGGGTGGAGGGGCAGGCGGGGGGGGGGGAGTTAGGAGACTGGAAAGGACAAAACGTAATATAAACATCCCACTTTTCTTTTGTTTGACCTCTTGCCAGTATTACAGAACTTTTAAAAAGATAACTGCTACCTGGATTATTTGAAATGCAGTAGGCCTG